ACAAGCCCTTCGGTCTCAGGAACATCTCTGTTGTCTCAGGTTGTTCACGCAGGTTTAGGACGTCTTGCCACGTGGGGCCACCCTGGTGGGCAAACGGTGCACCGGGAGGGCAGCAGGTGACAGGACACGGGGTGGTCAGGGGAGGCAAGCCGGAGCGTGACAGGACCCTGGGGCTGCGGTGACCAGGTAGCCTGGCGCCCCCTGGCGGCCGGCGCCGCGGCTGAGGTACTCTGTCAGGCGGCAACTGGAAGCTCCTGGAACTGTCCCGCTTTGGCGCGCGGCCCCGCCCCTGGAGGCAGCCACGCCCCTGCGGGCTCGCCCCGCCCATCACGTGGTTCCCACCGCCTGGGTGGGCAACGCCACATGACGGACAACCAGGCCCCGCCCCTAGCCTAGCCCCCACTAGTCCCGCGCCTGCGAGATTGGCAGCTCCAGAGTGCGTACCTCTCCTGTCCCGGGTGGTGCGCGTCCACTCGAGGGCTGCACCCGGGATTGGCCCTCGCCTCCGGCCACCTCTTCTTGCGTCGCAGGGCCCTCGCACTGTCTCTTCCTTGTATCAGGCCCCTGGGCGTCCACACCGCTCTTGCCTGCTGCTGGCTCCCCAGGCCGGTGCGCAGTGGGGGGCCGCTGGCCTGCTCTTGCATTTGCTTTTAGCTAGGTTTTGACACTTTTTGCCCTTATTGGAAAAATTTAAGTCTACTTACAATAACTTGGGCACGTGATTCCACTCTTCCAGTTTCATGATTTCAAAATATAGAGTATTTCCATGATAATTTAGCATTCTCCAAATTGAGATGTGCTGTCAGTGTAAAATACAGGCTTCACTTTATATGATTGGTACTAGTGGTTAGTACTTCGTGATGATGATGATGGTAATAGTAAATTTTATATTGACTTGTTGAAATAACATCTTGGAAATACGGGCAAAGTAAAAATTTATCTCACAACTGTCACCTTATCTTTTATACTTTTTTAATGCAGCTACTAAAAAAGTTAGACTACACTTGTGGCTCCGGCTACATTTCTTTTGGACAGCACTGTGGTAGACAGTTGACATCTGAGCAAGAGTCCCCCACCCCCACCCCGACCTGCTCTGAAACCAAGTGTGCTGGTGACAGTATCTGTCCTCATCACGTGAGAGTCTCAGGCTCAGTTCCCTTTTCCATGATTCTCACAGTAGCTTTCTGACACCAGGTTCCCTTTAGGTCGCCCTGGTATGGATGAGGAGACCCAGGTCTGGGGAGGGGGGAAGGGGAGACTTCTTGGGTCACTCACCCTGGAGCCAGTGGCTCCCACTTTGTCCCATCCTGTTATGGAGCCCAAGGTTGCCTGGTGGACAGTGAGCCAAGTGCCAATGGATCCTGGCTGAGAGCCAAATGTCTTCACTGAAGGTGAAAACTGCCTCCATACTTGGCCACGGACCTCGGGTGGCAAGCCAAGACCACTAAAAGCACCCTGGTGGCTGCCAGTGGGGGCTTTTGGCCAGGTCCATGGGAGTCCCCAGAAGCCTGAATTCCACCACGAGTCTCTGACTGCAGAAGAAAGAGCAGCAGACTGAGAGGCAGAGGTAGGGATACATACACAGCTCCCCAGTGCACCTTCTGTGTGCTGGGAGAGTCAGTTTCTTCACCCAAAACGGGATTCCACTTGTAGGGTGAGACAGATAAGGCATTGCAGTCACAGGGACCAGGGCCTGCACACAGCACACCTCAGCAGATGCCAGCTAGTTTTCTTTTCTGAAACTGGTAAAATCCATAAGTGGCTACACACCCCAGGTAGTTGTTGTGATGTGTAAATGGTGCCAAGGCAGAGCACTGGGGATCCGAGACGCAGGTAGTGAGGCGGCAAGATTGGCAGGAGCAGCAGTGGGGCTGGGTGGATCCTAGGGAGGTCAGACATGGCCGTGGTCCAAACTCGGAACCTACTGCAACTCTTCGTATTTTGGTGTGTGGCTAAAGTGATGGTAGTGATGGTGATGATGGCAAGCCCCATCTGCTTGAACTGGCTGTGGTCCGAGCGCTGTGCTGAGCACTTCACTCACACTAATCCTCATGGGCCAAGTAGTATTACCATCCCTTGTTACAGATAAGAAGACTGAGGCTTGGGTGGTGCAGCCACTTGTGTGGAGTCACATAGCCAGATTCCACTTGGGCTGTTTGACTGCAGATCCTTCACCCATTCAGACCCCAGCTGTACACCTCTAAAAATTACTGAGGACCCCTAGGGGCTTTTGTCGATGTGGGTTATAGCTATCAATATTTGCCATATTAAAAATTAAAATAGAGGCTTTAAAAGCCTATGTATTAGATCATTAAAAATAACATGGACCCACACTTTAAAAAAATGAAAATGAGTTGTACTTTCCAAGACAAAAAATGTTAGTGGAAGAGTAGCATTCTTTTACTTTTTGCCAGTCACTTTAAAGTCTGGTTGAATAGGAGGTAGCTGGATTCTTACAGCTGCTCCACATCCAATTTGCTGTGATGAGCTGTTTTGGTCAGAGCATATGAAGAAAATCCAGCCTCACATTGGGGATGCTGTCTGAGACCAGGGCACAGTGACAGAGGGAGTGACAGCACCAGATTGCCCGAGTCTGTAAACTTCAGCTGTGGCATGATGAAACCAAACCCTGGGCTGAGGAATTCTGCAGGAAAAGCAAATTGGAGACCATGACAGTCCCCCTGGACAACCTCCAGGTTGAAAGTTTAGGTCAGCCCACAACTAGTGATGTTCCTGTATGTAGATCCAGAACAGGCCTGGCTGACAGAGCTTAAGTCCACAGGCCTCTTAAGGAGCTGGTGGAGGGACTAAACTAGGTCACTCCAGTCAGGGAATGGGGGTCACCTGGGTGGACACGGGCTCTGGCTCGCCTCAGATGGGTGGGCTGGCCAGCAGTGGGGGCATGGGTTTGAATTTCAGCTTGGTCTCTTGCAGGGTCTGTGACCTGAAACAAGTGGCTCAACCTCTCTGACCTCAGTCTTCATATCGATGAAATGGGCATATCTGTAGAATCTATGTCCTAGTTAGCTGTGTGCATCAGATGCAGCAGTATGTATAAAGCTCTCAGGACTAGACCCAGCACATGGTAAGCACACACACTTTGGTCATTAATATTCAATGCCTGAGTCTCTTCTCCTTGTGGTCCTTCTTCTCTCAGTAAACACTGGTTGATCAAATGACTGAAGGCACAGTTCCAGATCTCCAAGTTTCTGCAGGGAAAACATCCACAGACAAGGACCCTGGCCCCTCTGCCATCTAGTTTCTCTCCTGTCCAAGCATTTCAGCCAGACTGTCCTCTCTGAGCATTCCACACCTACAAACTAACCTGACATGTCAGGTGGAAACTTGTCACAGAAGGGGATCTTCCTAACCCAGGGATTGAACCTGCATCTCCTACATTGGCAGGTGGATTCTTTACCACTGCATCACTTGGGAAGCCCCAAGATTCCTTGGGTGGGGAGAAACAGAAATCCACCCAGGCACTTTAAGCAAAAGAGGCAGATGTGTGGGACGGAATCAAGGCTACCTCATAAAAATGTGGGCCTCACAAGAGACCAAAATGGAAAGTATTAACAACAATCTGAATTAGCTCTTCTATGGGGTCACAAGGCCCTTACTCTGTCTCTATACACACGGTGAAGGCGGCGGTCCTCCTCCATCTCACTTTTTGTCATCAGAGGAGACAGAGGGGATTCCAACTACAGAGTCCTGGGTCCCAGAAGTTCTGATTGGCTCAGCTGCCCCTCAGACCAGAGGGCCATGTGGGGGAGGGCTGACACTCCATCACTGAGGGGGGTGGGCAGTTCTCTTGTGAAGGAGCTGGCCCCAGGGTTGAAGTCACCCCGAAATGCCTACTCTCCAGGGTGTGTATATATGTGTGTGTGTGTGTGTGTGTGTGTGTGTGTGTGTGTAAAATATCACTGTGCTATACAGCAGACATTAACTCAACACTGTAAAGCAACTATATTTCAATAAAATAAATTTAGAAATTTTTACTGGGTGGCTCAAGCGTACACACACCAAAACAAAACTGTAGCAAAATGTAGCCTTATAGTCTCGGCCCACGAATAGCTTGCTCCTGTCTGTTAACAAAATATGGACCTAGTTGTGGACACCCTTTATTACATATGGGAAACGATGCTTCTATACCACCTGTCTCAGTGGCTCCCAACTTTCTCACTCTTGTCATTTTGAAAACAGCAGCCCGACAGATGTTCCTGTTCCTTTAACTCTTCTAAAGGCACAATTCACACTCTTTATACAAAGCTTAGCAAAGATGGCAAAGTAAAACGCCAGTGTAGTCTGTTTTCACCCCCTCCCAAAGACAACCCTTGTGATTTAGTTTCCTCCAAGACCTGCGGTCAGACTTCAGGACCGGGCTAACTGCATTCTTCTGTGAAGGGAATTCCACAGACACTGAACCTGCCAAATAGCCCGATAATCACGTTCACCCTTAAAGAAGTGTGCAATTCAGTGGTTTCGGTCCGAGAGGCACACCCCCCTGCCTCAGAGTCCGGGTCCACACTGAGCCTCAGGCTTGGCCCAGGACGCGCCCCCCACGTGCACAGCGCCCTCCAGGTCCGAGCAGCCTGACGCCAGCTTTACTGCACCGTATTAGCACAAATTTCCGCTGGAAGCAGCGTACCATTTCCCTCTTTGCCAAGACAGCACTGGCTTGGCGCCCACCCGGATCTGCGCCGCCTAGCGCAGACCCCGCCAGGGCCTGGAAGATAGCGGAGGGACCGCCAATGTCCCCAGGTCCTCTCAGCGGCGCATGCGCGGCAGAGGCAGCCCGAGCCAGAGCGGCGCGAGAGGACCAGAGCGCACGCGCCCGGGAGCGTCCATTTCGCGCCAACTCCCCTGGCCGAGGTGCCCATGGTCCCGCCCATGGCGGGGGCGGAGCCAGAGCGCGGCGCGAAAATCCGAGGGAAGCGCGGCTGCATTTCCGCCCGCCGGCCCACCAAGGTGCTCCTGCTGCTCCTGATCCCGCCGCTCCCGCCATGGCGCAGCGCCGCCTCACTGACTTCTTTGCGCGCCGCCGTCCCGGGGTCAGCGCCACGCTGCCGCGCGCCAAGCCGGCGTGGCGCACCCCGAGCCCTGCCAAATCCGCGCCCTGCGCCGCGGCTCCGGGTCCCGGCAGCAGCCGCAAGCGCGCCCGCCCGCCTGCCAAGCCCACGCGCGACGAGCCTGTGCCGCCCGCGCGCAAGAGACTGAGGCTGCCGGCTGACGCGGTGAGAGCGCGGGGCGCGGAGGGGAGGGGGAAACTGAGGCCGGGGTGACGGACAGACGGGAGGGAACCCGTGGAGAGGGGAGCGGTACCGGGCGAGGAGGAGGCGGGGCTGCTGGAGGGACCTGCCCTGGAGGAGGGCACCGAGAGGGGGTCTGGAAGCCCGGGGTGAACCTAAATCCACCCCCAGTGGGAGGAGGGGCTGGGCCAGGTCACGTGCACCTGGTAGGCGGGGTCCTCCCTTCCAGAGGACCTCAGAGACGGCGGGGATGCCGGGTCTGACCGGTGTTGGAAGAGGGCCAGGGGGCTGGTTAACACCAGGCTCGTCTTCAAGACTGGGCGAGGCGTCGGGCCTGGATGACTCGACCTGGCTGTGAGTGGGCGTCTCCTAGTTAATCGAGGGGACTGGAGAGACGCTTTCTGGGAGACGGTGCACCCCAGGGTCTTGTGGTTTCATCACCTTTGGGGTCCTTCCCATCAGGTGTCTGGCCCCGGTTCCCCGGCTGCCCCTGGCTCCCCAGAGCACCCTTCTCTCCAGAGCAAGGAGACAAAGAAGGCTGCTGGCTCAGCTGGTGGGCGACCCTGCCTGGCAGCCCAGGAGAACAAGGTGAGGAGGCTGGACCAAGGGCAGGGTAGGTAGACTGGAGTAGGGTGACAGGTGGGCTGACGCACCCTGTGTCCACAGGTCCCTTCAAAGGTCACCCCATCTGAGCTCAGGTCGTGCCTGCAGCGGGCACAGGAGCTGGGGGCGCGGGTCCAGGAGCTGAAAGCAAGTGCGCAGAAGGATGCTGGGGAATCCAGCGCACCAGAGGATGAGGGACGCCTGGAGGGGCCGTGGTGAGGCCTGGGTTGCTAGGCTCCCCGGGAAAGGCTCAGTTGGTGGGAGGCCTGATGAGGCTGGGCTGAGCTGGGTGTAAGGGGACAGGATCGCTCCTTCCAAAGGGTCAGCATAGTCCACAGGTCTCAGCCTCTGTCTGTGAGAGGGGCCAGTTACTGGGTACCTTTTGCCCGGCTGCATATTGGTCTCCCACCCCCAGGTCATGTGGTTATCATATGCCTCTTAGAGGCAAGATAGCCAGGGCTGGAGGTGGTTGCAGACCCCCCTGGGTGACAGCTGGGTTTGAAGCCATGCTTTTGTCTCTGTCCCTTAGTCGTGCCAGGGAGGCATGTTGGGGCTTTGCAAACTGGAGTATAGTGTATCCTGGAGCAGAACTCCCAGCTCTGGGGTCTCCCCCGCCACTCTGCCCGCTGTTGAGTGCTGGAGGGTGTGGGTCTGGTGCTTCTCTCACAGCCCTGCTCCCTCCCTGCAGTGGAAAGCAGATGCCAGCCTACCAGCGCTTCCATGCCCTGGCCCAGCCGGGGCCCCCGGGCCTTGTGCTGCCCTACAAGTACCAGGTGCTGGCTGAGATGTTCCGCAGCATGGACACCATCGTGGGCATGCTCTACAACCGCTCCGAGACTGTGACCTTTGCCAAAGTCAAGCAAGGCGTCCAGGACATGATGCGCAAGTGAGCAGGAAGCCAGGGCCTCGCCCTGCCCTTGAAGTCTGTGTGCCCTCTGGCACCGGCTTTCTGACCCCTGCACCCTCGTCCCACAGACGCTTTGAGGAGCGCAACGTGGGCCAGATCAAAACCGTATACCCCGGCTCCTACCACTTCCGCCAGGAGCGCTTCATCCCCACTTTCAAGGATGGCATCAAAAGGTCCGATTACCAGCTCACCATTGAGCCACTGCTGGACCACCGTGAGTGTACCAGGCCTCGGGTTCCTGCCCAGTTTGAGCATGGGTGTGAGGCGGTGGGCAGTGGGCCTCATCTGAGACCTGCAGGTGTGGGCTGGGTGACTGGGTAGGCCTGGCCCCGGGGCTCAGGCCCTGACTCTTCCTGCAGAGGCTGGCAGTGCGGCCCCCCAGCTTACGGCATCATGCCTGCTGCAGCGGCGCCAGGTCTTCAGCCAGAACCTGGTGGCCCGAGTCCAGGAGCATCACAGGGTGAGCAGGTGCCCCAACCTCAGTGCTTAGTTGTCCCTGCTATTGCAGTCCCATCGGATCCACAGGAAATGGGCTCCTCTTAAGGCTGAATCCTAGAGTTCTTTTAACTGCTTTCCCTGGTCGTCTTCTACACGTGGGTGGCTGTAGGGCTGGGCAAACTGGGAACTCAGGGCTGCAGCCTCTGGCCCCCAGAGGCTTAGGAGGAGTCCCATAGATGCTTCTGGGTGCTCTTTGCTTTGCCCCCAGCCTAGCTGAGCCCCTGCGGCTCAGAGGTGAAGTAACTTGCCCATTGCTTAACTGAGACAGGAACTGGGCAGATGTGCCCAGGGTCACTGGGTGCCCCCCTTCTCACATAGGCTTTCCTGGCCTCCCTGAACCCCCCCATGGAGGTGCCAGAGGACCAGCTAACACGCTGGCATCCCCGCTTCAACGTGGATGGGGTGCCTGACATCGAGCCGGCCGAGCTGCCCCAGCCGCCCACTGTGGAGAAGCTGACCACCGCCCAGGAGGTCCTGGCCCGTGCCCGCAGCCTGATGTCACCCAGGGTAAGGCTGGGGTGGAATGGCCTGACCCCCATGTTGGTGTCTGACAGGCTCCCCCTTTGGCCATCGGCCTCAAGAGTGGGTGGACGTGCCCTTCCCACCGTGGAGCACCACCCACCAGCAGGCACTGCCCTGGGCAGGCAAGCATGGGCCCTGGATGTGCTGAAATGAACCTGGGCTGGATACAGGGCTCCTGGGGGCTCCATACAGATGGGATGAGGGGCCTCCCCTGCAGCTGGATGGGGGAGGCTTCTCCTGACCTCTCTCTTCTTACCTGTCCCAGATGGAGAAGGCCCTGAGTGACCTGGCCCAGCGCACAGCCGAGCCTAGCAGCCCCAGGTCCCCCAGCCTGGCACAGCCAGCCACTCCACCTGCTGCCCCGCCTTCTGCCCTGAAGGGGGTGTCCCAGGCCCTGCTGGAGCGAGTGAGTGTTCAGCGTCTCCATGGTGGGTGGGTGTGTGTGTGCGTGTGTGTAAGAGAGAGACAGGCCCCTGAGCACCCATGCCCACCGCAGATCCGGGCCAAGGAAGCGCAGAAGCAGCTAGCACAGATGACACGGCGCCCAGAGCAGGAGCAGCGGCTGCAGCGACTTGAGCGGCTGCCCGAGCTGGCTCGGGTGCTGCGCAGCGTGTTTGTGTCAGAGCGCAAGCCTGCACTCACCATGGAGGTGGCCTGTGCCAGGATGGTGGGCAGCTACCGAGCAGCCATGAGCCCTGGTGAGTGCAGAGTGAGGGTGGAGAGGCTTAGGAGGAGTCCCATAGATGCTTCTGGGTGCTCTTTGCTTTGCCCCCAGCCTAGCTGAGCCCCTGCGGCTCAGAGGTGAAGTAACTTGCCCATTGCTTAACTGAGACAGGAACTGGGCAGATGTGCCCAGGGTCACTGGGTGCCCCCCTTCTCACATAGGCTTTCCTGGCCTCCCTGAACCCCCCCATGGAGGTGCCAGAGGACCAGCTAACACGCTGGCATCCCCGCTTCAACGTGGATGGGGTGCCTGACATCGAGCCGGCCGAGCTGCCCCAGCCGCCCACTGTGGAGAAGCTGACCACCGCCCAGGAGGTCCTGGCCCGTGCCCGCAGCCTGATGTCACCCAGGGTAAGGCTGGGGTGGAATGGCCTGACCCCCATGTTGGTGTCTGACAGGCTCCCCCTTTGGCCATCGGCCTCAAGAGTGGGTGGACGTGCCCTTCCCACCGTGGAGCACCACCCACCAGCAGGCACTGCCCTGGGCAGGCAAGCATGGGCCCTGGATGTGCTGAAATGAACCTGGGCTGGATACAGGGCTCCTGGGGGCTCCATACAGATGGGATGAGGGGCCTCCCCTGCAGCTGGATGGGGGAGGCTTCTCCTGACCTCTCTCTTCTTACCTGTCCCAGATGGAGAAGGCCCTGAGTGACCTGGCCCAGCGCACAGCCGAGCCTAGCAGCCCCAGGTCCCCCAGCCTGGCACAGCCAGCCACTCCACCTGCTGCCCCGCCTTCTGCCCTGAAGGGGGTGTCCCAGGCCCTGCTGGAGCGAGTGAGTGTTCAGCGTCTCCATGGTGGGTGGGTGTGTGTGTGCGTGTGTGTAAGAGAGAGACAGGCCCCTGAGCACCCATGCCCACCGCAGATCCGGGCCAAGGAAGCGCAGAAGCAGCTAGCACAGATGACACGGCGCCCAGAGCAGGAGCAGCGGCTGCAGCGACTTGAGCGGCTGCCCGAGCTGGCTCGGGTGCTGCGCAGCGTGTTTGTGTCAGAGCGCAAGCCTGCACTCACCATGGAGGTGGCCTGTGCCAGGATGGTGGGCAGCTACCGAGCAGCCATGAGCCCTGGTGAGTGCAGAGTGAGGGTGGCACCCTTGGGGTCACCACCTGAGGCCCCACGGGACTTGCCTGTTCTCTCAAGGCCTCTGGTCCCTTGAGGCAGGGCAGCCCATGGTGGGGTCTCTGTGGGAGTGGGAGCTGCTGGGCAAGGCTGCGAGGTCACTGCCAGCATCTTTTCCTGTCTTGTTATGGGAGGCTCGACAGGGTCCTGGTGCCCAGCCTCACACTCCCCTCTCTGCAGGGGAGATGGAGAAGCACCTGCAGCTCCTCTCTGAGCTACTGCCTGACTGGCTCAGCCTCCACCACATCCGCACGGACACCTACGTCAAGCTGGACAAGGCCGCCGACCTGGCAGGTGTCATGGAGCAGCTAGCCCGCCTGGCCCGTGCGGAGGAGACACTGTGAGCCCGGTGGACACGTGCCAGGCTTGTGTCTTACTCCCTTTTGGAAAATGATGCACTTTGATCTCCCTGTCCTGAGTCTCATGAGGGCCAGGCTGGCCTGGACTTGGGCTGCTGAGCTAGAGGGTCTCTGGTGGAAGGCCCCCTACCTTGTATATAGGATGCAGGGAAAAGGGGGAGGTGGGGGAGGGTAGTGTAGCAGCTAGAGTTAACCTCTCAGGGGCCCACAGGAGCTCTTGGAGGACCCAGTATCACACACGTTCCCCACAAAGGGAGGCCAATGCAGAATCTGAGATTGAGTCTCCCTAGAGCCTCCAGAAGGAAGCAGCTGTGCCCACCCACCCCCTGGATCTTGTATTTGGTCTCTAGACTGTCAGATAAAGTTGTTGGAAGTCAGCATGTTTGTGTGATGAGTTACAGCAACAGGGGAAGGCAAGTTGGGCTGCCCCTGTGTGTGCAGACAGCTCATGGGGCTTGAGAACCACAGACTACTAATGTCAGAAAGTGCTCAGCCTGCCTAGTGGGCCCTTTCACCCACTAGTGGGAAGAAGACTCTGCTCTAGAAAGTAATTTATTCTCATTCCATTATCAACCAGCTGGCAGCTCCTGGCCACAGGGCTTCCAGAGCCCCAGCAGGGCCTCAGGGGCAGCCCTACCCTGAAGAAAGTCACTCAGCCACAGACACAGAGCAAGTCCAGGTGGGCAGCCAGTGCCCCCTGGTAGCCAGTGGAGGTTGCTCCATCTGCCCACGCTGGTCCTCTCTTCCAGGTAGCCAGTGGGGGTTGCTCCACCTGCCCATGCTGGTCCTCTCTTCCAGGTGGCTTAGGGCTGGGGTCACTCGTACTGCAGGAGGGAGAAGAAGGGCACAGCCCCCAGCTTCTCCCTGCCCTTCAGTGAGGTCAGCTCCACCAGGCTTACACACTCCAGCACCTCAGCCCGCAGCTGGCCCAGCAGCTCACAGGCTGCGCACATGGTTCCTGGTGGGGGAAGAAAGGTACCATGGAGACGGCCCCTAGGAAACTAGAGCTGAAGCCTGTTCCCACCCCCACACCAGGCCCCACACCAGGCCCACTCTGCTGGGGAAAGACCCTCACCACCAGTGGCGAGCAGATCGTCCACAACCACCACCTTCTGCCCTGGTTCCAAGGCATCTCTCTGGATCTCCAGTTCAGCCTGCAAAGGAAAGTGGACATGTAACCTCTAAGTGTCCCCAAAACGGCCTTAGGACACACAGCTGGGGAACTAACAAGGGCCACCTCCTAGGCCCAGTTCTGACCCACCCTGTCTCCTGGCTGTGTCAGCCTGGCCCGGCTCCTCAGCCTCTCTGAGCTCCCATGTCCACTCCAACCATGGCGGCTCCACTGGAGTCCATGGCTTTCCTTTTGGGAATGCACGGTCCACGGAGGCAGCCCCCAGCCTTCTCACCTTCCCATATTCCAATGCATAAGAGGCGCACACGGTGGGGCCCGGCAGCTTCCCTCGCTTGCGGATAAGAATGCAGCCCAAGCCCAGCTCCTGGGCCAGGGACGGACCAAACAGGAAACCAAATTTATTCTCATTCCATTATCAACCAGCTGGCAGCTCCTGGCCACAGGGCTTCCAGAGCCCCAGCAGGGCCTCAGGGGCAGCCCTACCCTGAAGAAAGTCACTCAGCCACAGACACAGAGCAAGTCCAGGTGGGCAGCCAGTGCCCCCTGGTAGCCAGTGGAGGTTGCTCCATCTGCCCACGCTGGTCCTCTCTTCCAGGTAGCCAGTGGGGGTTGCTCCACCTGCCCATGCTGGTCCTCTCTTCCAGGTGGCTTAGGGCTGGGGTCACTCGTACTGCAGGAGGGAGAAGAAGGGCACAGCCCCCAGCTTCTCCCTGCCCTTCAGTGAGGTCAGCTCCACCAGGCTTACACACTCCAGCACCTCAGCCCGCAGCTGGCCCAGCAGCTCACAGGCTGCGCACATGGTTCCTGGTGGGGGAAGAAAGGTACCATGGAGACGGCCCCTAGGAAACTAGAGCTGAAGCCTGTTCCCACCCCCACACCAGGCCCCACACCAGGCCCACTCTGCTGGGGAAAGACCCTCACCACCAGTGGCGAGCAGATCGTCCACAACCACCACCTTCTGCCCTGGTTCCAAGGCATCTCTCTGGATCTCCAGTTCAGCCTGCAAAGGAAAGTGGACATGTAACCTCTAAGCGTCCCCAAAACGGCCTGAGGACACACAGCTGGGGAACTAACAAGGGCCACCTCCTAGGCCCAGTTCTGACCCACCCTGTCTCCTGGCTGTGTCAGCCTGGCCCGGCTCCTCAGCCTCTCTGAGCTCCCATGTCCACTCCAACCATGGCGGCTCCACTGGAGTCCATGGCTTTCCTTTTGGGAATGCACGGTCCACGGAGGCAGCCCCCAGCCTTCTCACCTTCCCATATTCCAATGCATAAGAGGCGCACACGGTGGGGCCCGGCAGCTTCCCTCGCTTGCGGATAAGAATGCAGCCCAAGCCCAGCTCCTGGGCCAGGGACGGACCAAACAGGAAACCACGTGAGTCTAGGCCTGTAGGCGAGACCTGGGGTGTTGGGGGAAGCCGTGTGCTACAGCAGCATTGGGGTCCCTATAGGTTAGGGCTGGACTGTGACATGTAACCATCCTGACACAGGACATATGGCCTTATTGGCTCCAGGTGAAAGCCCAACAATACCCATCAACTTCAGGGATGTTAACAGATTCCCCTATCACCCCAGGACTGCTCTTTGCTGGAGAGTAAGAAGTCAGGAGTTGGGCAGGTGCCACTCCACACAGCCGTGTAAATAGCCATGTGGCCTGGGGAAGTCACCTGACCTCTCTGCAAAGTTCAGCTGCTCACCACTGGTTGGTGGTACCTGAAAAGCCCTTTGCAGATGGCTCAGCATCTGCTCTGGGAACTTCAAGTCCAGAAGGAGAGGTTGTGACTGCACCGGCCACCTTGGGGATGGACTGAGCCCTTCTGGGGGAGCTCAGGGTCTCCTCCCCACCTGGGAGTTTTGGCTAGGGAGGGAGGCTTCTGGAGGAAAGACTCCACCTCTGCTAGCTGGAGCCCCTCCCAGTCCCAAGGCCCAGCAGTGGCCCCTTAGGGTATTCAGGAGTCAAGAGAGGGTCAGGGATGGGGCTCTCAAGGAGACATGACCTGCCAGAGTCCTCTCGGATCTCCTGGGTTTTCCTAAAACCCTCCACTGGGTACAAGGCCTGGCACAGGGCAGGCGCTCTATACGCAGCAGTAAAAGAACAAGGAAGTTGGTCAGAAACCCCCTGGGGAAAGTCAGCCCGGGAGCCCCATCTGTCCAGGGCTGGGGCAGGAAACCGGGGTGCCGGTCCTCAGCCCGCCGCCGGCTGCCACCGAAGAAGCTGTTCCCAGGCCAATGAAGGGGCCTATTGCCCCACTTGGGATTGTGAAGTCGGGGTAGGGCAACGGGTCTGTTCTTAAAACTTCATTGGGGGCGTCCGGCAGGTCCCCCCCCCCGCCAAAACCCTCCCTAGAGTAAAGAGCCCTCGACACTGCGCCCTCGTGGCGGATGCGCGCAGCCTCGGGGAGGGTCCGGGAACCCAGCGGACACCCGCCGCTCCACTTGCCCGCAATGTAGTCGATCCTGCCGCCGTGGGTCTTTTTCAGGTGATCCGCCAAGAGGCTGATCGAGGCGCGGAAGGAGGCGGGGTCCTTCAGGATGGGCGAGATGTCCCTGGCACGCGAGGATAGGCCTGGTGACTGCCGGACCCACGCAGAGCCCACCGCGCCCCGACAGCCCTGGCCGCGAGGCCCCGTCAGTCCCTCCCGCCGCCCGTTACCTAAACAGCACGCCCGGGATGGGGAAGTCGGGGAAACTGCGGATGCGCCGCGCCACCAGCTGCAGCTCAGGATCCGCCATCGCCACTTCCGCGCGTGTCGCGGGCACGAGGGACTGGCTTGGTGGCTCCGCGCCTGCGCGGGGTCGGAGCGGAGTCCAGGGGGCGGGGTCGTACGCTAGGGGCTGGCTCAGCAGCTCCGCGCTGGCGCGGGAGGGGAGGGGCAGCGGGGCGGGGCCCCAAGGAGCTTGGCCGCCTCCGCCCGCAGGAGGTACCGTATTTCATCGAGTGTTAAGTACAGTCAGTTTTAAGACGCTCGCTTGTTTCTTGTGCCCAGAACACAGGCGTCCCCGCCTCAAGGACGTTCGCGCAGGGCCCAGATGTGAGTCCGGGTTGATGGAGTACACCGTCTACGCAGGCCCAACCAGAGTTTCGGGGAAATCCTTGCCCGGTTTCGGCCGAGCCGAGAGTGCCCGCAGGTCTTCGGCTCAGCTGTGGCCGCACCGACCGGCCTTGCCCACTCTCCTTTCCTCCCAGCGAGTCTCGGCTGAGCTCCGGCAGCACCATACAAGGGGTCCTTACCCCCAGGACCACCCCCCTCCCCCCGCCCCCGGTGCCTGGGGACCGGAGCAAGAAGGGGTTCGGATCAGGGCCTGAAGGGGAGCAGTTCAGAAGACTCAGGGCTGAGGGAGGGGCTAGCCAGAGGTGGAAGTCCAGGCATTTGTCCCATTCCAGCCTCGACCTTGGCACCCAGGGGGCAACCTTCTCTAAATAGAATTTGTTTTTTAAAAAAGCTAAATGCCTGTTACTTTATTCTAAACCCGTTTTCTTCACCATTCCCCAAGTCTTAACAGTAGAGTTGGCAGGGTAGTCTGCAGACCGGAAACCACCCATTGGGAGCAGCCCACAGGCCCTTAGGGCGGGAAGCTATGCACAGGCTGGCTCAGGCTCATCTTCAAGCTTTGCCACCCTGGACTCCACGAAGGGAGGGCGGGGAACCTCTGAGGCACAGACAAGCCCCAGAGTGTCTAAGATGTCTAAGGGAGGTGCTGGCATCAGCAGTCCCCACTGGACTAGGGAGGCTCTGGGTTAGAAAGGCCCTTGGCCGCTCCCATCGTGTTCACACCACATCTCTGCACCATGGGGATGGGGAACGCGGGGGAGGCACTGGGAAGGCCCTGTCAGGAGCCAAGGGGCAACACAGGATGGGCAGGCGGCCTCAACACCAGGACCGCAGTCCTCGAGGGGCTGCATCGTGGCCTCCGGGTCCAGGGACAGAACTCAGGCCCTGGACGAGGCGGCCACAAGGTAGCTGGAGCAGGGTGGGAACATGAGGCGGGTAGCCTCCAGTTCAGGGGCTGCTGTGGGCCCCAGGCAGCAGTCAGGCGGGCCAGGCTGGCTGGCGAGAGACTCCAGGGCTGGGCTCGGGCAGGTCCTGCTGCCGGCTACAGGCGACGTCCGTCTGGCAGGCAGGCAGGGCAGAGGGAGTTGGTGCTCTTCCAGCCGAGGGCCCTGAGACCAGAGGCTTCCTAGCCCGGGGCTTGGGCCTGGCCTGAACCCAGGCTGTCTCTAGTGGGGCCAGGAGCACTTCTCCGGGACAGACTCCGGGGGTGTCAGGCACTTCCCTAACTTTTCACAGCCTGGGGGCGCCCAGTTCTAGGTAATGAAAGTTCAGAAAGAGGACATACAGTTACTCCAAGCACTTCCAGACTCAGGTACTGTCCAGACTCATGCCCTGCCCAGGTCTGTGACCTGCCCTACCCTGACAGATGGACGCCACAGCGTGGAACCACCTGTCTCATCTCTACCTGGCCTGGAAGCAGCTCTGTGCCCGAGGCCGGCACAGGAGACACTGCCCTGCGGCAACCCAGTATTAACAGGGCCCGCTTGTCACTGAAGGGGACAGTCTGCTAACTGCCTGGCACCATGGCCTCTGTAGGCCCCCGGGTGGTGGCGGCGTGGCTGGGACAGACTCCTCCCTCCCCATAAGCTATGTAGGCGGTGGCCTTGGTGCCTCTGCAGGCTTGCCTGGCTGCACCTTCGTGTGCAGACTTGCTTTGTGCAGCCATGATTTCCTGGCAACAGGACACTCACATCCCTGAGAGGGAGCCTTCGTGGCTTTGCCGGGTCCCCTGACACAGGAAGTGTGCCCTCCCTAGAGTCACTCCACCCACTCTCGCCCCCCTCAGACCCTGAGTCTGAATTGGAGCATCAGTGCCAGTGAGAACCGCAGCTCAAGCCTCCCCTGCCCTGAACACCTTCAGGTAGCCCCTCTGGATGCATGGTCACCTGGCAGGGCCAGGTTTAGGAAAGGGAGCAGTTCCCAACCTTTGAGGAAGGGCAGAGAAAGGGGTCGGGTGCACACAAAAGCAGATTCTGGCCCCGGCCTGTGTGCTTGGGGGTCAGGGAGAGTGTCTGATGAGGCCCTAGGGAGATAGGCTGCGAGCTGCTTGTCCTGAAAGCAGAGGACACATCCAGAGTCTACTCGCTGGTCCAGAGGAGCTTGGTGGAGCAAAGCGTGGAGGCTGGGGAGTGCTTTGCACACGGGTGCGCACATGCACGTGCCCACGTGTGTAAGCCGCTGAACCCCTCGTGGCAGTGCAGGCTTCAGAGTCCGAGCCCAACCCCCACTGTTCACTCACTTGGGAGCCATGGCAGTTCTGGCCGCGCCCGGGAGGTGGCGGCAGCGCCCCTCAGGTTGGCCCCTCCCCATCTCCGGTACTGTCACCAAGAACCCTTAGTCTCTGAGCCACCTGGCAACTGCCGCTACCTGGAGACCTGGCCCACAGGAGACGGTGTGCTGGGGTGGGGACAGCACCATGTGCAAGACGACGAGACGGGCTTGGAGGGGACACCAGGGGCTCCACCCCGGGTAGGGGTCTCTGAGCCACTGGGACCTGAGGGATCTCGGTGGTCCTGAGACGAGGCTCTTCTGCTCCATTGCTGAGTCCAGGGACTAGGATGCCAGCCTGGTGTCCTTCCAAGGGACGGGGAGGCCCTGCTGGCCCCTGCACTGAATCTTTCCCTGTGAGCCCTGGATGTTGGACCACAGTGACCAGGCCACCGCCAAGGCCAGCTGCCCCAGGTACTCCTCACCACTAGGGAATATATTCAACATCCTTTAGCTCTCATCCCCCTCCCCAACCCAGCTCAAGGCAGTAGCTTGAGCTGCACATCCATCCTCACAACTCCAGCAGGGTTTGGTGGGGGTGGGCGAGGAGTGGGGCTCACAGCCTGGCCGCACCCCAGGCCATCCACTCAGCCTGTCCACACCCACATCCCACACGGGTTTGGCTCGTCTTGCACCTGCAGAGAGGCCAAGAGACCCCATGCCGCTCCTGTGAGGTTGGGGCCAGAGCAGCAGGAGGGAAGCGGGGCTCATGTCTGAGGCAGACAGCACAGCACGCACGCGGCCCTGGGCCGCCCCCACAGTCAATGTACAGACCACTCACCATGACTGCCCGGTTGCACACATTGAGCTGGGGCTGTCCAGGGACCAAGGCCTCCTGGTGCTGCTGGACGACCGGGGTGATCCTGCGAAGGGCATCCAGGTACTCGATGCTGGCAATGCTGCAGGCAAGAAACACCAGGTCACGAGGTGGGGGAAGGGCAGAGCGAGCTTTGTAGCCCACTCAGGTAGATCAGGGTGTGGGGAGACCAAGGGGACAGCCCTGCTCCAGGTGCCACCATCCGGCAACCTGCCAGGAAGACAGGCTGGGGATGTGGCCCCACCTTGTCCTGCCTGCCCTCCCTGAGAGGTGGGCATCCAGGGAACCGCCCCACAAATGAGGGTTCGGGCAGAGCCAGGGGCCCAGGACAGTGGCCGCAACTCTTCAACCTGCTCCTCAGTTGGAAGCCCAGGAGTGCCCAGAATCAGGGGGCTCTTTCCTCTCTCAGGGTCTCTTTTAATCCTCTGGCCCAAACTCCTTTTTCTTGGGGCAACTGGTCCTGCCTGACAGGACCGAGCCCACATGGCTCCTGGGCCCTCGGCGTCCTTCTCTGCTGGCTGCACTCGTCCCGCCAGCTCGTCTCCCCAGGATCCTGTGTGACAGCATCGGGGGCAACGCCTGGGAGACCACGCGCTCAGCCCTGCACACTTTCCGGCCAGGCGGCAGCTCCAAGGGCTTCTTGCCCAGAGCTCTGTCCCCCAAGTCACCCCATGCAAGTCATGTGGTCTCCCCACTGGGGGAGCCTGGTATCCATGCTGGACCCTCTGCTTGGGCCAGTGACCCTGACAGTGATGGTGGGGTCTCCTGGGGGCACAGTGGCAGGTGTGTTCCCTGGGACCTCAAATTTCAGGGGACACCATCTGGCCAGCTCAGAGCCAGGAAGGGGCAGGGCTCGCTGCTGCTGCCGCCATCTAATAGGCACTTGTATTGGAAGTCACGTATCTCCCTCTCTCTCTCTCACACACACACACAGACACAGACACACACACACACACACACACACACACACGTCTGCCATCCAGGGCGGGGCTCAGATGATGTCTCTCCTTATATCCCACCTGGAGACCTGGAGGCCCACACTACTCATCTGTGAGGCGGGCTAAAGGCCTGGGGGCTGCCGGGGGTGGGATCGTGTGCCCCACCCCTGCCATGGCCTGGCTGGAACAAACATCGGGAACAACAAGTGGGTGCTGGGATGTGACTCAGGGGAAAGCCCAGTGGATGGAAAACTATGGGGTGCAAGAGAGCAGGGCCAGTGACTCACTGGCCTTGACCTCTGGGTGGCCCCAGAGGGCAGTCAGGCTGCCGGAGGCCCCGTAGGCACAGGGCTTGCCGTCTGCTCTTGCCGGGTCTCAGCTCCATACTGACTCCGAGGCCACCTCAGCCTGGTTTTAACCTCCAGCCTTGGTCTCCCTACCTGTGCGAGCGTCCTGGGCCCCACAAGCCCCTGGCTTACCTGAGGGGGAACCTCTCTCCGGGGTCTCGGCCCAGGTGGAAGATGAGGGGCAGCTTTGTGTGCTCCTCTTGTGAGTGGGTGGTGACCCCTGAGACGTTCTGCCCGGGACAGAAATCAATGCCCTGAAACGAGAGGTTGGGGGGAGCATGCAGGTGAGTGCTCTGTCTATGGGGCTCCTTGAAGTGGAGCAGGTCACAGGATAGCAGCAGCCAGTGAGAACCACAGACAGAGCCTTCCCACACCCGGCCCAGAGGTGCACCACCTGCCCCGGGCACCATCCCTTGGGACCTTGGTACTTTTCTGTGGGGAGGGATGAGTCTCTTAAAAATATTTTAGTCCACATTCTAATTTCTAGAGCAAAGAATCTCATGTCCACCCTATGGGCCTTGTAGCGATGAGGTACATGGCAGCCACAAGACCCCTTGGCTGGCTGAGGAGGAGGGACTATAGACCTGAAGCCAGAGGAAACACAGGTGATCCCGACGCCTGCCTTTAACAGGAGTTGGAGCATCTGCTCCACCAGGCTTAGGGTCCAGCCCTGCTCCACACCCTCCAGGTGGCCTCTGCCCTTGGGTTCAGCCTTTGATGCTCGTGTGAGATGGAGTTCCTATGCCAGCGAGTCCCCCAGGCTGGAAGGCTGCCCCCCGGGGCTCCCTGACTTGGGAGCCACCTGCTGCTATCCTGGGTGAGTCAGGTGAGGCCAGGGCAACCCTCCAGAAGGACTGGGGACCCCGGGGCCCCGTAAGCAGCTGGACAGTGGTCTCCAGCCACTGTTGGACATCGTTTACAGATCTGGAGTAGAGTCCTGACTGGGCATGTTAATCCTGAAACAGGGCTGGGGACACAGTGGTGCTCCCTGCTGCTTCTGACAGGTGATCCTCCCAGCACCCATGTGTCTCTCCTGGCCAGCCAGTCAGCAAGTATTCTGCGGTTCAGTAAAGCAGGAGCCCAGGAGCCTAAGAAATTCCACTGTCTGTACCAAGCCATAGACCCGAGTCTGTCTAAGCTGCTGACGGCGGTGGGCATGGACACCCAGGTGGGTCCTGAATGGGTGACCCTCTGACCTTCCGGGAGCAGATCAGCTGGAAAACAAAAATGGATTTAATGGTGGGAGAAACAACCACGTTCAGCGTAAAAAAGCTGAGCAGTTAATGGAGAAGAATCCAAGTCTAGAGAGAAAACACAAATTATAATTTGGATGCAAATCAAATAAGCTATTTAATTAAGAGCCCACTAATTAGCATTGGATTTTTCTCTTACGACTGCTCACGGGAGGGAGGCCTTGCCCAGGGGCCACTGCAGCTGAGCACTGCCACCACCGAAGCCCAGCCAGGCAGAGAGGGGTGTGGGGAGACCCACCCAGCACAGCGCTGGCTTCTGGACGGCAGGGTGGAGGGAGGGAGGGATAGAGCAGAACTTTGCCCTTGAGCTGACCTTGTGGGTTTAGTCCATAAATGCAGAAGATCCTGTGAATACACAGACCCTCCCTCCTGCCTCAACCCCCAGGCATCAAACACCCTAGGAGGGGAGGTCACGGGCTTGGTGGGGACTGGCTTGGCACAGCCCTTCTCCTCCTCCATCAGCCCGGCACCCAGTACCTGACCCAGGATACCCTCAGGTGGCTCCCAGGACACCATGCCAGGGGTACGGAGCCCTCCCCAAGATGGCTCCATGGGGCCGAGACCTCTCACCTGTTTGAACTCCTCCCAGGAATTAGTCCAGGTCCAGAAGTGGGCCTTGTAGTGGCCAAGCGTCACCGCCATCAGTGTGTTGCCGCGGTAATAGAATATCGGTCTGAAAAAAAAAAAAAACCAAAAAAAAAAAAAAAAAGAATATCAGTCTGTTGGGGGACCGGCAGGGTCAAGAGAAATGGTCCCTGGGCTTCGGGGGAGGTCCCCCGGGCAGGCCCATGATCCTTGGTTCTGGGGAGGCCAGCAGCGGAGCGAGGGGGTGGTGCCTGGGCTTGGCAGGTAGCCTGGCCAGGAGGACCATTGCGGCTGGCACCCCCACCCCCTGCTCCTGCGGTAACAAGCTCTCATGGCAGGTTTTTAAGACAGAGAAAAGGCAGCAAGCTGTCCACTCTGGGCCGTAAACCTGCTCCAACTATGCTTGTTCACAGCAGCCAGGAGAACTGATTTTGTTTGAGCACAACAGTAGCTGGTCTTGAGCTGGAGAAAATGACTTTGGACAGTGCCCAGGAGGAGGTGGACATGAGCAGAGGGTGGTGAGGGATACCGCGGGGAGGAGCAAGGCCTCTCGGCCCCACCACACATTGCATGCCCAAGTCCCCTGGATCTCACCTCCCTCTGGGCAAGGATACCTACCTATCTGTCAGGTGGCCCTGTAGCATGGCGGGGAGGAGGTCCAGGCCGTCGATGGCCCTGTCCCTGGGCGGCTCTAGGCCTGCGAGGGACAGGCTGGTGGTGAAGAGGTCCATGATGCTGCCCAGCTGGTGGCTCACCTGCAAAGCACACGGCCCTATGCTGCCCGGATGTGCACAATGAGATGCACACATACGTGTGCACACACACAGACCCATGTGGTCACATCCTGCAGCGTGTCCACACATGGAGAACAGAGGCAGTCCCTGCCCGATGACATGGATGTGTGGCCTGGTGAGCACAAGGAGCAGGCCAGGAGGCGACAGAGCCTTCTTGCCCAGGATGACCGCAGGCCTGGCACGAGGCCTGCTCTGACTCACCTGGCCGGCAGGGATGTGTCCAGGCCACCAGGCGATTGCAGGCTCCCGCATCCCACCTTCAAACGTGGTCTGCTTCCCACACAGGAAGGGCCCGTTGCTGCCACCTTGGGAGACAGCTGCCCATCAGCCCATGTGCCTGAGTCCCCAGGGCCACACACACCCTTCCAGGCACTTGACCTTGGGATTTGACTGTGTCCATCTGGTTCCCTGTCTGGCCTTCAGAGGTAACACAGCTGAAGCACCAATGTCACCTTGGAGATACAGGACCAGCCCTGGGGTTCAGGCCTCAAGTTCAAGGTCAGAATGCCTGGAGATGGCTGTGACCTAGAGCTGTGGTTGTAAGGTTGTGCCCCTGTGGACAGCAACCATGGATGCACAGAGCATGTAGACTGTTGGTGAGAGGTGAAATGTGAAACAGTCAGACCCCCAAGCCTGGCAGGTGCTGGATCCTTAAACGCCAGTGTGTACAAGCAGCTCCTGTGCTCTGGGCTCTAGGGGTACAGACCCCATGTTTCTGACATACCCCACTCTGAGCAGGTGGTCCTTGAACCTCTGGGCAGAGGGCAGTCAGCCCAGCCCTGGCTAACAGTGCCCGTGACAGAGGGAGGCTCCTGCCTCCCCAGGGATGGGGAGATGAAGGCAGTAGTGCAGCATCTTCCAGCAGCGAGCCCGTGGTTCAGCCCTTCCCTGCAGCCCAAAGCCCACCTCACTGGTTGGCACAGGGCCAGCAAGGGTCACTGGCCAGTGGCTGATGAGGGCCGTTCCTCGTGTTTCTCTAGCTGCGGGTGGGTACATGGGTTGTCACTGTATTGTCCTCCCTCCGCAGTTCCTTCTCGGCCAGTTGCTCTGGTGCCATCCCTGAAGATCCCCAGACCCCTCTCTGCCCAGGACTCACAGCTGCAGGGTCTCCCAGGGCCTCCCCACGCAGGCCCAGCCCTGGAGGGTTTCCTGCTGTCTGGGGCCTTCCTTACAGAGCTGAATGACTCAGGTCCTCCTGGGGCCTCCAGTGTTTTTTAAAAAAAGGACAGAGAGACACGTCACCACGGGGGTGTGAAACCCTCATGGGACTGTGAAAAGCCAGGTGTAACAACCTCCCTCCACGATGTGGAAAAGCCTCAGACTTGAGCGGCCTGGAAGGCAGGTGTCTGAGCAGGCCTGCAGTGGGCCAGGAGCTGAGGGGCCCCAAGTGGACCCCGTCTGCTGGGGCACCTGCCTTGTCTGGGTGCAGAAATGAGGGCAGCACCATTGTCAGATGTGAAGAAAACAAAGGTGTTCTCTGCGATGCCCAGGTCCCGGAGGAGATGCAGGATTCTCCCAACACTGTCGTCCAACTCACGGATGGCATCCCCATACCTGCGGGAAGGATGGGGCGGTCAGTGGGGGCTAGCGGCATCGGGACCCGAGGGCGGTCGGAGCCTAACCTCAGGGGTGGAGGGGAAGGGGCACACAGGTCAGTCTCAGGTGGAATCGGGGTAGCGCCAAGCCCTCCGTCCACCCCCTGGAAGAGGCACAGATGCTTCACCATCCACAGCTGATGGTCACTTGTGACAGTGACTCTGCCCTGCAGGTGATCAGACATGGCTAACCCTCCCCACTCCCGCCCTGGAGGTCCAGGTCTCTGGGGCAAGGGCTCACCGCCCTCGCTGGCTGGTGCCCAGGAAAGGCTTGGAGGCATAAACGGGTGCATGTGTAGCATCGACAGCCCAGTAGAGAAAGAAGGGGCGGTGGGCTGCCTGCTGCCTCTGAATGAACTCCAGCGCCTCCTGAGGAGAAGGACGATGGTCATCCCCATCCGAGACCACCCTGCTCCCTGGCCCGGAGCCCACCCAGCCCTGTCGTCCCTGCCCAAGACCACCCCTATCCCCAGCCCAGAGCCCACCCAGCCCCGTCATCCCGCCCAAGACCACCCCTCCTGGGCCCAGAGCCCGTGCAGCACTGGCGGCCGTCACCTGCAGATAGATCTGGGTGAGGTTGGCTTCTCCGGTCTTCAGGTTAATTGGAAATTCTTCATAAAATCTGAAAACAGTACAGACCCAGACAGAGATCAGCCTTCAGTGCAGGGAAGCCCCATCCCTGATCTCCTGGAGGAAGTCAGAGCCTGGAAGGTCCCAGATCCTGGAAGGTCCCAGATCCTGGGGTACCAGGTCCAGGCGGGGCTGAGGCTGCACCTCTGCCTGGCAGACTGGCAGGACTGGGAGAGGAAGGGGTGGGGTTGTGGAGGGCGCAGGGCCTCTCTCTGGGGTGCAGGGGGGCGGTGCTGGGTGAGCTGCCCAGTTGTGTGGTGCACTGACGTGTACTGAGCTCCAACAAGATACAAATAATAAAAAGGAACAAAGAAAGGGAAGTTAACCCAAACCCTGCCCCGTAGCCGCCCGATGGTCAGAACAGGTGGTCCTGCAGCTGATGGCCCCTGGACAGTGGCTTGGAACGAGGCTGACCATCTGGAACGCAGCCCCCTGGCCGCTTCAGGGGTTGGGCCTGAACTCTAGAAGCCGAGTAAAGTGTCTGGGGCTCCCAACACATTTCCTGAGACTGTTAGAAGCCCTCTGAGGTGGCGAGCTTATCAGTCAAAGCTCACAGGACAAGTCTGTGCGTGTGGAGGAGCTGGTGGAGTGGAGACCAGGGCTCGATACCTGCCAACCATCTCCTGATCCCGGTACACAGGGATGTTGGGCCTCGCCTTGTCGTCGTAAGGTCCGAAGTGACAGTTGGGGGATCCAAACCACTCGTCGAATCCGTGCCTCAGGGGGTGGAACTGAGGCCGGTGGCCCAGGTGCCTGGAGACAGTAACCCAGGGCACTTCAGGGAGCTCCACAGAGCAACCACCCTGGCCTTCGGAGAACAGCTCAGCAGACAAGGTCCAGCCAGCCCAGGGCGAACTGAGCCTGGCGTCCTGAGGCCGCAGCCCCTCCCTGCTTGGCCACCCAGGAACAGCAGAGGGGAGCACACCCTGGGGCTGCCTGGACCAGGTCTGGTGATTGTGCTCGATGCCGGGGCAGGAGCCAGTGGGGACAACAAGAGAACATGGCGAGATGCCTGCAGGGCGACGGCCCAGCTGTTTCCTGAGGCTGTGCTCAGACCCACCCCCTGCTCCCACCCAGGGGCCCCTTCCCACGTCAGGTCCTTCTGCCAGAGAAACGTTACGGCTTAGGGAAGCGGTGTCGGGGCAAGGTGCCCCCACCCTGGGAAGTGGACAGGTCTCCTAGAGTCATGTCTGCAGGGTCGCTGGCACAGGCCGACCCCAGGTGACCATGAGCTCACCACACTGCTTGGTCACTCGGCCAGGATGGATGTGGCTGGGGCACCAGGGCAGGACAGGGCCAGAGCTGAGTTGGCTGGCAGCGGAATCTGCGTGCCTATAAGCAAACCTCTCGGTCCCCCACTGTGGGTCCTGACCCGCTCTGCCTCCAAGAGACGGCTGCCAGCCTCTGCAGCCCTTGTGCGGGGTGGGGTGGGGGACACTCACACTGGCTCCGCCCTGAGCTCTCTGCAGAGGTGTTTCCTCTCTGGGCCGCAGCTACTCAGCAGGGCTGGGCCTGAGTCCTTCAGCCCAAATGGACTTCACAGAACAGAAACAACCCTGAAGGTCCAGCTCATGTGAAGCTGTTGATTCAAAGAGCTGGTCCCGAAGCAGCTGTGGGGTCAGCACTGTCTGCAGAGCCCATCCTCACACTGGCCAGGGCCATCCTGACCCCAGCCTGTCCACCTCCCCAAGTCCATGCCAGCTGCTTCTCCAGGCCCTGCCTCCTCCAGAGTCCGCCTGCCTCCAGAGCTCATGGGGACAGGTTCCCCCTCCACCTGGGGCGGCCCAGAGTCACTGACCATGAGCGGAAGACTGCTGGACCAGGGTGGAGCTGCCGGGCTGTGCAGGGAGCAGCAGTCATCACAGGGACTCCCCTACTGTGGGTTCAGCCCTGGCACGGCCCAGCCACCATTGCCCCAGGCCTTCCCGTCTCTGCCAGGGCTATGCAGGCTCCTACAACCCTTGTGCCCTCTTCGGCTCCGCGCTGCAGCCACCACCCTCTCCCAGCTCGTCAGCTCAGCAGGATGGCTTCCACCTGGTCTCAGGAGTGAGGAAGTGCTCCTGCAGCTTCCAGACTCCCCGACTCGCTGAGTCTCCTTTCCTGGCTTTTGCAGACTCCCCCGCCACCATAACAACTGGGTGGAGCAGGGGCCCCCAAGAGGGGCAGATGAGGTGCTTGAGAAGGTGCGTGCCAGGGGGCTGAAGGGGAGAGGGTCTGAAGCACAGCAGCAGGAAAGGAGACAGTTAGGTCTGGAAAATCAAGGGAGGCTTCCTGTAGGAAGGCAGGCCTGGTCTCTGAGGGGTCCAACAATCAGGGGAGGGTAGAGAGGACATCCGACCTCTGCACCAACCTCCAGGGCCACGCATGGGGGCGTCCCTGGGGAGCAGGAGAGGAGACACCTCACAGCCACTTAATCATCACCCAATGACCCAACCACATGACCCTCCACCCCTGCCTGCTTCCTGGTTTCACCACGAGACGGAGCCTCCTGACGTGTCCTCCGTGATGGCATGTGTGTGCAACGATGGGGCTGCTTCGGTGGTGCTGTGCAGCTGACACCGCAGCCTTGCCACGGAGCTGGCTGTTGGGGCCTGGGACTCACCACTTGCCCACGATCTTGCTGACATAGCCGGCCCCCTTCAGCAGCGCTGGCAGCAGGAGCTCTGAGTCCGGGATGCCCCCCACTATCTCCTGCGGAGTGTAGGCTGTGGAGCAACGTAGCCCTTGAGCCGTGCACAAGGGAGGCCATGCACTGAGAGGATCGAGGGGCAGAGCCCTGGTGGGGGTGGCACTGCCCAGGCACTTTTCAGGTCCTCCAGCTACGCCTTACTGTCAGCACTGTTACCAGGGTGGAATGGGCAAACGTCTGGGGGTGGGGTCCGGACCTCAGGAGAGGACCCACCCCTGGGGTCTCTGGAACACACCCTCCTCCAAGGACCAGGTGAAACCCCAATGGGTAAGGGAGCCCGCCCTGGAGCCTACCGTTCCTGGCGTGCCCGTTGGTGGTATAGAAGCCGCTGCGGATGGGCAGACGTCCGGTGAGCAGAGCTGCCCTGGCTACGCAGAAGGGACACAACAGAAACATGTGTTACACGTCCAGCCTGAGGCTGGCCCTGCAGTGCCTGAGTCCCAGAAGCCCCTGGAGAGCCAGGTGGGCACACAGCCTCCCGCCTTGTGCTCTCCAGCTCCTGAGACAGCCTGTGGGTCATGGCCAACACCCCCAGGATTACTTCTCATCCTGAGATCAGAGATTCTCCTCACCTATAGGGCCCCCACACCTCTGGCTGACAACCACTTCCCCAGCCCAGTGCCTCCTCTGAACGAGCCACTGAACTCAGCTTCATGAATGAACAGCCACTGCCAAGGTCCCCACAGGTTCCAAACCCTTGGTGACCTCTGACAGCTCCAGTGGCCCCGTGTCCCCCATGGGGTGGATCCTGGGAGCTCCCCAGTGCCAGGATCTGATGGACGCCTGAGTCAAGGCTGCCTCTCTACACCCCTGCCCCATCCCCATGCCTGCCCGCTGTGTCCCGTCTCCTGGTCTGCGGGTCCCCCTGCCCTGCCTCACCTCACTGCTGTCTCCCTGCTCCATGCGTGCCCCCTGCCCCCACGCCCCAGTGGCCTGAGCCAGCCCTGACTTACACGGGGAGCACAGGGGGTTGGCTGTGTAGAAGTTCGGGAAGAGCATTCCCTCCGCAGCCATCCGGTCCAAATTCGGGGTCTCTCTGGAAGGTTCTCCATACACCCCCAGGTCGCCCCACCCCATCTGCAGGAAGGAGCATGTGGAGGTCAGGTGAGAACACAGCCAAAGCTGCAGCCCCTGGTGTCCCGAGTGTGGCCAGGACATGGTCTGACGCTTCCCTGGTGCAGATGTCAGCCCACACACTCACGGGGCACTAGCATCAAGACTCCCCTGCCCTCCACAGAGACACGGAGGCCGTCCTACTCCATGGGGCAAACAGATTTGAAAACAGCGGTGAGGGCCCACAATGCCAACCCAGTGAGGCCCTGAGACCCGCAGTCCCTCCTGAGCTTGCCACCCAGAGAACCGAGCCGGCCTGCACCTAGACACGGGGCAGATGTCCACAGCAGCAGGACTCCCGACAGCCCTAAGGAAACGCCTGAGTCCATCACTGATCAACAGTGGACAGAACATGGTCTGTCCACCCAGTACTGGGGTGAACAGAGGCCCCCCTCAAGTTTCTTTCCATTGAGAACCTGTGAACATAACCATATCTGGAACACAGATGTATCAGCCTGCCTACACCTGTGCAGAAGTCAACCAGACTCCGGCCCTGAGGTTCCCTTCCTGCCCTCCACCTTGTTTTCCTTAGCGGGACGTTCAGGGCTTCTGGGCAGGGGCCACACGCGGCTATGAGGAATGATCATGCGTGTACATGTGTGTGTCCACATCAACACACATGGGAGGAGGCCCTGGAGATTCAGGATACTGTGGGGACGCAGAGCCGGTGTTTGTACAGCCCAGCCTCACACTTTCCAGGAGTCATGGGGGCCTCCTTAATCCTGTTTTACAAGTAAAGAACAGACACACATACAGCGCTAGGGTCCAGGTGGGCAAGAGGGAGCTCTGTGCCCCCATGCCCAACGCAGAGCCGGTGTTTGTACAGCCCAGCCTCACACTTTCCAGGAGTCATGGGGGCCTCCTTAATCCTGTTTTACAAGTAAAGAACAGACACACACACAGCGCTAGGGTCCAGGTGGGCAAGAGGGAGCTCTGTGCCCCCATGCCCTGCCCCGGCCCACCAGCCACAGAGAACAGAGGTGAGCCAGCACCACTGAAAAAAGCTACTCAGCATCTTCTGAGGGCTTCCATGAGCTGACGCCTACTGGGCCTGCGCCGAGTCTGAGGACCTGCTGGGGGGCACCCCCAGGCCTGATGACTGGAGGGGTGAGGCCGGGTGAGGATACAGGACTGCGAGGGGCCTGAAGCCTGTCTGGTCTGGAGAGCCGTGTTCCCCACTAATGCTCAAGTTGCTTTGAATGTGTTTTCTAACATTCGCTGACCAGGACAGAGATCTCCCCAACTTCTCCAGGCTTCAGCTGCCAGAGTCACAGGAGATGACACAGGAGAGGTGGGGGTCACCAGGGTCTTTTGGCCTGCTGTTCCTGGTTCCTGGGGCCCACCCTGGGCACCCAGGTTGATAGTCCCCCGGTCACCCCCTTGAGTTAAGACGTGCCCAGCATCGGTCCCCCTCCACCACTCAAGGAATGCAAGAGAGACCAGGAAGCCACCCGCTAGGCCTGTCACCCAGCAGCCCCGGTAACAAGCAAAGAGAAACAGTCGGTGTGGGCGCAGGTTCTGTTTGGTTGTTTTAGCTGAGCGGGGCCTTAGTTGCTGTACATGGGATCTTCCATCTTTGTTGCATAATTTGAAATCTTTAAAAAAAAACAGACTTTATTTGGCTGTGCCGAGTCTTAGTTGCAGCACACAGGGTCTTCATTCTTTGTTGTGGCATGTGAACTCTTAGTTGCGGCATATGAGATCTAGTTCTCTGACCAGAGAATGAACCCCGGGCCCCCTGCATTGGGAGTGCAGAATCTTAGCCACTGGACCACCAGGGAAGTTTCTAGGTTCTTTTTTTAGCCCCATAAATCCAGGAAACGACCATCTCAACAAGCCTGCAGTGTCAGTCTTCACTAATGAAAGTTGGGGAAGGAAGAGGCAGAAGTGGGAGAGACTAAGGGCTCAGCTTGGTTCAGCCTCGATGACTTAAGTACTTAAACAGCCTTCCTGCCTGGGAACCTGAGCTCTGAGAAGGCTGACCGCAACACAGCAAGCATTTCCAAGATCCACGTATCGGTTATGAAGCAAAGTTTCCTAACCAGTCATCAAACGGGCTCCCAAGGAGAGGAGCTTTGGGGCCCCTTCGGGAGCCAAGGTGTCTGAACACCTGTGACTAAACCGAAACACATTCTACCTCACCTCTGAGAGGAGCCACTACATATTGGTGGCTCTGCAATCTTTTCTAGCTTATCTGAATGTTGTTAGCTTTTTGTAATAAAGAATTAGGGTAGTGGCTCTGCAATCTTTTCTAGCTTATCTGAATGTTGTTAGCTTTTTGTAATAAAGAATTAGGGATCCCCTGATAGCTCAGCTGGTAAAGGATCCGCCTGCAATGCAGGAGATCCTGGTTTGATTCCTGGGTTGGGAAGATCCACAGTGGAAGGGATAAGCTACACACTCCAAAGAATTACTTTGATAATAAAAAATGTTGCATGATATATATTTTATGTCTTTTTCTTGTACTAGATGTTTGAAATCTGAGCATTTCACACACACAGCACCTTGCAAATCCCACAAACCAGGCGCGGGCGTCCAGCAGCAATGTGAGGCTCGTGGCCTCAGCCCGGACTACTAGGAGTGTCTTTGCTGGCCTTTTGGGGGAACTTTGAGATATTTTTACTCGTGACTCTTCTGACACTAAATATGTGTGGGAACCTCCATTTCACTCACCCAAAATACATTCCTGGCTTTCCTGGAAAGGAGGACAGGGACCGAGTCATAAAGAAGCTGGGAACGGCTCGGTTTAACCCCAGAGTTGGCTCACCAGAGTGACCAGGGTGACCTGGGGCCACACACATGCTCAACGGGGGACATTCCTCTGGTTCAGTTCTTTACCACCCTACAAAGACCTGACCTTTGGCCAGAAATCCCAGCAGAGGCAGGGCAGCCAGACCAAGCAACGCTGGTCCAGTAAGGCAAAGACAGCAGAAGGGACTTTCAGGGCAGTCAGGACAGGATCTCAGTCAGCTCTGCACTCTTTTTCTGCCACCAACGCCTGGAGAATTGGAGGGCAACAGGTGAGCATAGGTCCTGGAGACCTGGTCCTCACGTGGCCAGCATCACAGTTGGTCTGGGCTGCCGCTCAGAACTTCCAGCGCGGTGTGGGGCAGGGATGGGGCAGTGGAGGCGCAGGGCAGAAAGGTCTTCTGGTTCGGCCCGCAAACGATCACCTCACTTCAGTTTCACTCATGAAGAGCCAGGCATGACCACCACACCGCTGGCCGCCCTTCCCCTGCCTCCTACCCCGCGCCGAGCGCAGCAGCCCTCCCCGGAGCCCGGCTCGCGCGGACACTCACGTCGTCCATGAGCAAGAGCAGGATGTTGGGGGGCTGAGGGGCGCCCTTGACCCGCAGCTCCGCGGCGCTTAGCACCAGAAGCAGCCACCACCTGGTCGCCACAGCAACCGCCGCCATAGCAACCAGGCCAAGTGCCACAGACCCGGGAAGCTGCAGGAGCCAGACCCACTAAGCGAGAGGTCCTTCCGGCCTGGCGATGGGGCGAGGCCACGCTATCTGAGTGACAGGAGGGGCGGGGTCAAGACTCTTGGACTAGAGGCGGGGNGGACTAGAGGCGGGGGGGGAGGGGTAGGGCGGGGTCAGGCCCACTGAATACCAGAAGAGGCGGGGCAAGGTCGGCTGAGTGACAGGAAAGGCGGGGTCACGGCTGACCGAAAGACAGGCGAGCGGGGCGGGGCCTGGCCGGCTTCGTGACCGTCGTCGTCGTCACGTGACGCGGCCGGTCGGGCTCCCAAGATGGCGGTGTGCGTAGCGGTGATCGCCAAGGAGGTGCGTACGCGGGCTGCAAGGCCCGCTCCAGCGTCACCTTCTTTCTCCGCCTTCCCTCCTTCCCTGCCTCGGGGACTCCAGAGGGTGGGCTCTGGGACTTTGCCGAGCCTAAGTGGCCGGGGCGGGCCCGGGGTAGGCGCCGCGCAGACCTACACCTGCTGCTGCCGGAGCGTCACAAACCGCTTCCGTTCCGGGCCCCGCTCCGCCCAACCATCGTCGGCGGCTCTGTGGTTTCCTGCTCCGGAGTCTAGCCGTCCACTTCGGTCCGTCGTGCTCCGCCGCGCGCTTCCACCGGCCGGGCCATCGCTCACCCTCCACCCCAGACGACTGACTCGGTTTTCTCCGCTCGGCAGCCACAAATGTACCGTGGCACACCCCTGCCTAAAATCTCAACAGTGGTTTCTCATTAGGATCACGTCTGAATAACCTTCCTCCCATACCAGTGACATCCTTCACTCCAAGCAACGGAATTACTTGCGGCTCCCCTGGCAGGCTGTGCTCTCTCACTGGGTCTTTACACGTGGGACCCCTCCCTCCCTCTCTTCCACTCCCGTTCTCTCCACTGGCCACCATAGATTTAACTTTGTGTATAAAGCTCTTTCTAAATCCTACGATTGAGCTGCGTGGCCATTCACCCGCCCCTACTACAGGGAACCTTGGTAGCCTCACAACCTTTTGTTAAGACCAGGCTTCTACGAAAAAAAAAAAAAAAAAAGACCAGGCTTCTGAGGCTGGTCTCCCGTGAAGCTCCTGTTACGCTGGGTTCTGTGTTAGCACGTGCTGCATTATTTGTTGGTGGGTCTGTGGACTGTCTCCTTCACCCGATGTCATCCCTATCAATCAGGGTAGAGGCAGTGTTGTGCACACTGTATCTGTGTAGCACCAGGCCTGTGGCAGCCTGGGAAGATGCTGTTTAAACTCCAGGGTTAGGTTGCTCCAAAATGGCTCTGCAGAGATGGAGGTCTGAGCTGAGCCTTAAAGGGTCGAGAATGAGTCTGCCAGCGCCTCTGCCCAGGTGACATTTACAGGAGTTGGCATTTTGGGAAACAGCCAGTATCATGGGATTAGGAGAAAGGCACCTGCTAGGGTGGGGCCTTGTTTTCTGGGCCTGTGCACCCAGGGTGGATCTTCGTCATTTCAGCCACCATCATCCTTTTCTTGCAGAATTATCCTCTTTACATCCGCAGCGTCCCCACGGAGAATGAGCTCAAGTTCCACTACATGGTGCACACATCCCTGGACGTGGTGGATGAGAAGATCTCTGCCATGGGGAAGGCCTTGGTGGACCAGAGGGAGCTCTACCTGGGCCTGCTCTATCCTACAGAAGACTACAAGGTGTATCCTTGTGTCTGTCAGCGACTTCCAAGTCTGGGGATTTCCTGCAGTCATGGGGTGCACTGTAGCATCAGGTTCCCTTGAAAAGTATCTTATAACATCACTTGGAAAGGAAAAAAGATGTGGGCTTTTGACCAATGGAGAATTAGAGCAGCTTGAGACCAATTAGGACTTCATACCCTTTTTTCTTTAGTTAAGAGGATGATGTGGGAACAGCCAGGCTTGAGTTGCCTGGAGAATTGTGACAGTCCTCACTTGTCCCTGGAGTTTGTGGAGGGACTGGGGACTCTCTAGCGTCATGCCTGCAAGGACGCCTTCCTGTGCCGTCCCAGCAGGACCACCGCCTCCTGAGCCAGGGGTCATTGTTCACTCATCTCTTTTTCAGGCTCAGCCCCACCTGTCTCTCTAAGATCTTGACCAGGACAAATTACTCCAAAACCCATGGAGTTCAAAGACATTCCAACAAGTATTTAATAGTAATGAGTTTTCCCAGTGTCACTGCCTGGGAGCCACTGGTCCACAAGACAAAGTGGCCTTTAGAGGTGTGGGTACCTTAGGCAGTCTGCACCTTGTTTGTGCAACCTCTGGTTTTGCAGTTAACTCTCTGGGGCTGGGAATTGATGCACAGAGAGGGCGTGGTGCCCCAGGGTTTGGGCAGGACTTGAGTTGTGACAGGCCTTAGTTGCCTGCCCTCTGCTCCTCCATCAAACACTGAAAACTGTATAAGGAAGTGTCCGGTCACACCCGGCGTGGCCCTGTGTCCTCCTGGCACTGCGAGACAGGCCCAGCCCAGGGCTGGTGTTGTGATGCAGGTTGTCATGCACCTCCAGAGCAGCTGAGGAGCTGGGGGACATGTGCAGATGGCCCTGCGCTCACAGACTCTGCAGTTATGAGTCCCTGTGTTATGAGCAAATTCCCTAACCAGCTGTGCAGATACGGCTATGTGACCAACTCCAAGGTGAAGTTTGTCATGGTAGTGGATTCCTCCAACACAGCCCTCAGAGACAACGAGATCCGCAGTGTGAGTGTGGGGACTGGTGACTTGATTTTCCGTGTTTCTTTAGAAATGCTGAAAAGCCCCCAGCGTGGTGGCAGCTGTGCGTCTGTGTGAAGTAAACATGTTGTTGCTTGTTTCAGATGTTCCGGAAGCTGCACAACTCCTACACAGATGTAATGTGCAACCCCTTCTATAACCCTGGGGACCGCATTCAGTCCAGGTGGGCGTGGCGCCTTCTCTGGTAACCCCTGCCCTGCTGAGAGGCAGCAATTCTGAGAGGGATGGAGAGAGGGAAGGTCTTTTTAAGCAACAGGCACTGTGCCTCTAAGGCAGCTGTTCTGAAATGGCATAACCCTGTTTTCCCAAACAAACGCTTACATGGATCTCCAACATGTGAAACAGAAGGGGAGTTCGGGAGCAGGGCGGGGGCAGAGCTCATCCATCTGGTCTTCCAGGTGCGCCCAGCAGGTACTGGGGCGCCTCCCCAGATCCCAGTGAGGGCCCAGGCATGTGGACAGGAGCCTTCTGCGAGAAAATGTTCTCTTGCCAGTGCTGATTTTGTCTTTGACATTGAACTTGGATGATTAGAAAATTAAATTACAGATATCTTCCAAATAGCCTTCAGGTAAACACAGACAAAACACTGGAACGTCAAAAAAGATGTTTCCCAAAGAAGCATTCATGTGTATGTGCTCCAGAACTGCTCCTGGGAATTCCCTGCATTCCCAACAGGTGACTCTAGCCAGACCCTTCCTGTGGCACCTCCCCTCAGTGGTGACACTGTGTCTTGGGTCATCCGGGGTCCCACCCCTGACTGGAGACCCAGCCAGGGCAGCTCTGTGGAAAGTCACGCAGGAGTGAGGCAGGAGACTCAGATTCTCACCACCCAGTGTGGGAGGATGCACATTCGGGCTTCAGCCGGCTTCACTTACCTGGACCTGGGAGACTGACGTCTCTGCCAGCCAGGGATGGAGGGCGGGTGTAGGTCTGCCTCTTTGATTGGTCTATTTCTTTCTACAGGGCCTTCGATGGCATGGTGACTTCCATGATGATCCAGGTCTGCTGAGCAGAGCTCTGCAGCCCCTGGCTGGAAGGAATGGTTCTGTACATAACCGCGTTATCCAGTTGTCTGTTCATCTCACTTGCCTCTCCTGGGGGTCGCTGGGGGCAGGGCCTCATGCTTGGGGCATGTTGACTAAAGGTCTTGTGGGATCAGCTTTGGGTTTTTTCTTCTGAGACAGCAGAGGCTTTAATTAAAGAGAGTTTAGGGACTCCCCTAGTGGTCCAGTGATTAGGACTCTGAGCATCCACTGCAGGGAGCCCAGGTTTGATCCCTGGTGGGGAAACTAAGATCCTGCAATTTGTGTACTACACCCCAAAAAAAGAGTTTATGTGGGACTTTACAGGGGACAGAGCTGATCAGGGACCAGATGGAACAGGAACTCTTGTTCCCACCAGGGACGAAGGGGCAGGGAGAGCCTGGTGGCAAGAGCTCCTGGAGCTTGGAGCCCTGTAGAGGCTTCAAAGGGAGGGCAGAAGACCTGTAGACCAGCCACCCTGCTGCGTCTATGCCCTGGCTGCACCCCTCCCCCCCCAGTGACTGAGAAGGTGGGCTTGTCTGGAGGGGTCAGCCTCCTGTGCCCAGAGCCCAGAGCCTAGTTAGAGGGGCACGTGGGATGGCCTGCACACCTTCCCCTAGGGGTGGGGCTTCCCCTTTCTGGTCTTGCTCCACCCTGGAAGGCTGCCTTCTTGAGACCATGTAGCTATCATCTTATCAACTGCTGGTGGACATCAAATGAGCAAACTCTTTGAGAGTCCCCTTCTGCCTCCTCAGTTACTCTGGAGGGGGTCTCTGGCCAGGAGAAAGGTGGCTTAGACTCATTGGGAGTGCGGAAGCTGTGATCTGTGAGTGTTGGCAGCCCAGGGCTAGATCTGGGGTGTATTCTGCTCCGCTTATGAAATTTTTTTTATAATTACAGAAATTAAAAAAAAAAAGCTTAGAGTGTATGTGAAAGGCACAAGTCCCAGGTTCCCCACCACCACCAGCCTACACACACACACACACACACACACACGGAATCACAAGACCTAGACGAGGACCAACACACACACACACACACACACACACACACACAGAATCACAGGACCTAGACGAGGGCCAACACACACNACACACACACACACACACACACACACACACACACACACACAGAATCACAGGACCTAGACGAGGGCCAACACACACACACACACACACACACACACGGAATCACAGGACCTAGACGAGGGCCAGGAAGTGTGATCAGCAGATATGGGGCTGATGCAGCCATCTTCACATGGGCTTTCTCCCCAGTCCATCCTCAGATCTCTGGTTGAGCTGTTACTAGTAATCTCTCCTGCCTGAGAAAATGACTGAAGCAGGGATTGCAGTTTGCTAAGCTGACATCCATTCTGCCTTGTTTCTTTACTAATAGATCCCCAGTGTTATTGGAGACAGTTGGCCAGACAAAATATACTTCCTTATCCTCACATGGGTAGGTCATTGTGGCATATAAGTGGATGATGTTGGGAAACACTTGCAGGAAAGAGACTTAAAAGAGGGATTTAGCTGGCAGTACCTTCACCTTTTCCCTTCTTCTGTCCTGGAACTTGGATGTGATGGCTGGAGCTTAGGAAGCTATCTTGACAGCATGCAGACAAGATTCATCCTCTAAGGATGGGGAGCAGAAAACTAGGCTAAGTCTGGGTCTTTGCTGACATACCAGTCCTGAATGTTCAGCATTTTTTTAAAATGAAAAAATAAAACCCTTATCTTGTTGAAGCCACTGTTGTTTGGGTTTTCCTGTAGGTGGAGCCAGACCAACCCATAAATGGCTTTACATTTAAGGGTTTTCACATGCATTTCCATTTTCAGCCTGAGAAAATAAGGGTTAGAAGTAATATGCTTGCCTTTGCCAACAGAACTCTCAGATAGCGCTTTCACCTTAACTTCTATTTTCTTCATACCATGAGGCTGGCCTCAATGAAGGCCACCTGCCTGTGTCCCCTGCCACCTCAGGCCCATCCTCCCTCCAGGGCTGAGCCCTATCAGATGCAGCTCCTACTCAGCCCTTGGCTGTTGCACCAGTGATTTCTGTTGAAGTTGGTCTTCCCTCCCCATCAGCATTCCTTCTCCCTTCTGTGTCAGGCCAGATGGGCCAAGAGGATGCTGCGTGTCTTGGCTTCCTCTGGGTACAGCTAAGGAAGTGTGGGTCGGAGCTCTGGCTGCCCATGTGGGCTGCTCAGACCTGAAATCCAAGGGAAAGGAGTGCCTCCCAGGTCCATTCTCCTTGAAGTGGCCATACAGAAGGGATTAAGAAGGTACTTCTGAAAAGGGACCAGTTCCTTGGGGTAGATGCCTGTCAGCAGGTTACTTACAGAAAAGCAACTTGCAGGGACTTCCCTGGTGGTCCCAGTGGCTAAGGTTCCGCACTCCCAGTGCAGGGGGCTGAGGTTCAATACCCGGTCAGGGAACTAGATCCCACACACTGCAACTGAGAGTTCACATGCCATAACTAAAGATCCTGCAAGTTGCAACTAACAGATCCCACATGCCACAACTGAGACCCAGCACAGCCAAAGAAATACACGTTTTCTAAAAAGAAAAGCAATGTGCACAGTGACAGTGTGTAGCCTGCTTGCCAAGGAGGGCACTGACCTGAAGCGTGGAGCCGCAGGAGATGGTGCTTCATGAAATTCAGCTCCAGGGTGTGGTGCAGGCAGCCTGTCTCTTCTGCAGCCCCATAAATGCACAGGGTCCTGGCAAGGGCCCTGCCACTCAGCCCCTCACACCCATCTCCAGGGGTGAGGAGTGGTGTGTATGTGTGAGCGTGCTGGTGCATGTGTAGAAATAGAATCTATTCTCTCACATGGTTCTGGGGGCCAGAGTCGGAGACCGAGGGGTTGGCAGGGCTGGTTCATCCTGGAGGCTCTGAGGGAGGGTCTTTTCAGCCTCTCCAGCTTCCAATGATGGCCACAGCCATCGTGGCTCCTTGGTTTATGGACACATCACTGCAACTTCTACTGTCTCCACATTGCTTTCTCCATGTGTCTCATACCCAGTTTGTGTCACTGGGTTTAGGGCCACGAAGCTGATGCTTAGTTGCATCTGCAACGACCTCTTTTCCAAATAAGATCACATCTATAAGCACTGGAGATTATGATGCAGACATAATTTTGGGGGGTTGTCATTCATGCCTCTGTAAGGACCACTGTGATCCCAGATCAGTAGGGGAATGTGAACCTGGCCTGATGAACACATGGATGGAGAGCAGAGGCCTACTTGCCCTGCCGAGAGAATGCTGCCTTTACTGGTGCTGTAAAGGGGACACTGGGGACTGGGGACCTTTGGGGCTTGGAGCCCCAGAGCAGCTGTGTTTGAAACTTGAGTAGATGGTAACTGAAAGGTTACAAGGCAAAGAGGGTTTCTTTAGAGAAGCCCAGGGAGAGGTTTTTTTAGTTACTTAAGGCCGTGACCGAGTGTGTCTGCAGCCCAGACCCACAGCTTCCTTCCTCAGCTCTGAGCTGAGCATAATCAGTGCACACTGCCCCTTTAGGGAGAGAGTGGGGCATCTGTCTTGGCGGGGAGGTTCAGGGCACAGGCAAGGGACCCGGCATCGAAACCTCTGCATTCAGGTCTCACCAGGGCCGGGCCTGTGCCAGGTGCACCCTCCCTCTGTCACTCGTCATGGGCCGAGCATGTGTCCCGGAGGCCACCAGACCTGGGGTGAAGACACAGCAACAGCTTGCCCCTACGGTGTGAGGGGGCTGCCCATTGGCTGTTAGCGTGCGTCTCAGATTGAGTCACCCATCAACTGCTTTCTCTGCACCTGAGGAAACAGCGTCCAAGTGAGGCGAATAAAGGGGACACTGTTGCCATGTGCCTTTAAAAAATATTCAAGTTTAATAATTTATACTTTACCAATAAGACACATATTTCTACTTTTCTATAAAAGGCGTTAGTGGAACATCCCTGAGTAAGTCGAGCCGGCGCTGACCCCGTGGTGCCCGGACCTCACCTGCCCACAGCTTCGTCCCATGCCCTCCACAGCCCTGACTGGTGTCCGCGCCAGACCCACCCTGTGCCCCGCTCCGTGCACGGTGGCCTCGGTGGGGTCCGGCAGTCTTCCAGCGGAATGAAGGGGGCGGGGAAGTTATTCTTAGGAGCACCGCTGTTGATTCCTGACCAAGTGGCAAACTCCACTCTCAAAATCCGGTTCTCGCTTCAATACGGAGAAAACCACGGTGAGAATCTTCCGCGTCCCCTGCGGGAAGGAGAATGGGAGATAAGCGGCACCCGCCCTCCCAGGGCCCCGCCCACCGGCTCCGCCCTCGTGGTCTGAAACGGGCCCCGCCTTGGAGGCCGCTGTGGGGGAAGGATCCCACTCTGGCTCCTGGGTGTCCTCGAAGGCCTCCGCGGTCCGTGGAACTGATCCCTGGTAAATTGGTCCTTTTGGGCAGCACCTGGAAACAAAGGCCAAGTCCGCCTGAGACTCTGTTCTCATATCCTCCTCCCCACCCCTAGCCAAGACGAAGACTAAAGCTGCCTTCTGGGGTTTCCCTGCTGAAGGCTCTTAAGCAGGTGACCATTGGCCCCAGCACCCAACAGGCCCTGGCGGCCCCAGGGCATGAGACTGCCTGAGACATCAGACCCTAGCCTGGTCCCAGTCATCTCAAGATCCCCACTTAGGCCACAACAGTCCAGCCACAGCCTCAGTCAAGCCAGCATCTCCCCCTGCAGGTGGAGTCTGGGTCAGGAAGGAAGCCGCAGTTCAGCAGATGTGCCCAAACACCAGAGACTGGCAAAGGGCCAGGCTGGGGCAGCTGTGTGTCCTTGCCACTTGCCCCACCCCCACCCCCTCGTCTTGCAGTGACACACACCTTGATGACCCGGCCTCGAAAGATGCTCTTGTCCAGCTCCACAGCGGCCTGGGCCGAACTCTCGGTGGCAAACTCTATGTAGGCATAGCTGGGATGGAGCAGGGGCCAGTGAGGGCAATGCTTACCCAGGCATAGCTGTCCTCCCCGGGCACCGGACCCTTCTTCGAGGTCACCTCCCCAAGGCCCCACACTGACCCCTTGGGGTGTCCAGAGAACTTGTCGCACAGGATGGTGACCCGGTGGATCTCCCCGCAGTGGTTGAAATAGGCCTCCAGCTCCTGGGCCGTGCCCCCATAGTCCACCTGCCAGGCACGGGCAATGGTGGGAGGCCTTGTGCACCGGCCTCCCCATCCCAGGGGCTCCTGCAGCACGTTTGCTTGGTAGAGAGGGGTTGATTGGGCCCCGGGGTGGGGGGTAGAAGCTTGGGCCTCTGTCTCCCACCCCTTTTGGAGGAGGGGACTGGCTACCCAGAGGAACGTTCCCCAAGTTCACTGGCCTAGGCAGGGGTTGTGGTTTTTCTGAGTGGAATTTGTTGCCAGTGATCTGCTCACCCGGAGACTGCACATAGAAACCCTGAATCCCAGGCTACAGTGGGTCTGACCACAAAGAGTCCGCACTCCCTCTTGGGGATGCCCCTTCATTGGACTCCCAACCCAGGCCACAGTGGGTCAGACCACAGAGAGTCTCCGTTCCCTCTTGGAGATGCCCCTTCATCAGATGCCCCTCCTGTTTCTCCTTTTCAGGCCTGTGTGGCTTTGGAGTCTGCCCCTGAAACACGGCCCTTCGCCCTTCCTTTAATCCTCTCAGCCAGGAGGGGGCTGCAGTTGCCCTTCTCCCCTCACTCACATTGCCCACATAGACGGATCTGTGGTCAGCCGCTGCCTTCTCCAGGGGGCTGTCTGTGGAGAGAGGGGCTTCAGGACCAGGGGCTTGTCCTGGGCAGGGGGCTCCCGGCAGCTGCTAAGGGCAGGCACCCCACCTGGGTGGCTCAGTCCTCATTCCTCCGGGAAGAGGTGTGCCCGTATCTCTCAGGGACTCTTGGGGAAGGCCACCCCTTGGGGCTTATCCAGAAGGCCCCACTGC